GGGGGGGCTCGTGCGAATTCTCTAGCGGTGCTGCTAAGCACAAAGAGAGGTTGGGTGTGGTGGTGGGGAGACGGCGGAACAGGGAATGGCCGGCAAGTATCGCAGCTGTTCCTCGCCAGATAAGAAAAAGAACAGAAAAAGAAAACAGCCAACTTACGATCAAAAAAAGACCTGTCTTTCGATGGCCGAGCGCAGGACAAAGGCTGGGAAAATGGCGGTGCTCTCGTCTCACTGAAACGGGAGAGCAGTCATGTGGCGATGGAGGGCGAAGAGTCTCTGCGTCAACGAGGGCAGAGGGTGATGGGTTGCTGATAGACCGCAGGAGGCGTGGTGCTATGCGGCGCTTCTTCTGCTGGGCCGATGGAACGACCTTGATGAACAGCAGGAAGATGTGTGGGTGTGGGTGATCAAGCAAGATGATCTTGGAGGGGGACAGACATGCGCCGTGAATGATGGCGGCAGTGGTGGTTTTGTACTTCAAATGGTCATCTGTGGGAGACGCACCACCCGCGATGGAAAGAAGGTATCTGCGCTACCCCTCCGGCGTACGAGGAGGAGTACCAGACGGATGTACCTACCTCACCCCAGTCAAGCACTAGCGGCACCGACAGGGGTCTCTGACCGGCTTGAGGAACGCGAAGAGCAAGAGGAAGGGTGTGGGTGCCGAAAAAAACGCTGCTTGAACGCCGACACGGCCGTCTATTGGGTGGGTCCGGACGGAGGGCGTGTATGTGGGCGGGTGGACTGCGTCTACCAGTCCCGAAGAGCACCGGCAAGCCACCCCTCACACGACCCGTTTACTGTGTATGCGCGCGTCCAAGTGACATGCCCACCCCGAATTGTGGCAGTTCCCCCGTGGGCCCAGACGCTGCGCTCTGGGAGGGCAGAGGGCAGGTGTGCACTTTGTGAAGCCTGTGGCTTGCTGCGGCACGTTTTTTTTGTTTTTTTTTTTTGCACTTGCACTTGCACTTGCACCCGGATACGTCAATGGGAACGTTGGCTGACTGGACGCTTGCCCTCCAATACTTGGGCCATGTCACATTGGGCAGAGTTTCTGGTTGGGTCTGGCAGAAACGGCCGCCCACGCTGGGGCCTGCCGAGAACGAGTGGTTGTGACAGCCTTCCTTTGTGACAGCCAAGCGAAGCGGAAAAAGATGCATCTTGTAACGGAACTTCGGACCCCTTTGATGGACCAAATAGTCGTCCCCAACCGAGTGCGGGCAAGAGGGGAGGGGAGAGGGGGAATTTTTTTTTTTTCCAGAAAAAGGTACAGGCGATGCGCTGGGTTAGGTGCATGAGTGCGAAACCCCTCTGCGGGACAGTTATGGGAATACATTGGACCAGCGGTGAAGGGCGGGCGAAGCTGCCAGGTGCGGGCAGGTACCCGCCTAACCGGGGAGCAGGGGTCTTGGGATGTTCACCGGGGAGCGCTCCCGAACGGATACAAAGTGGGAGGCAGAATGGAGAAACAGGCCGCATAGGCAGACCTCGCGTGATGGGGGACGGACAGCCGACCAAACAGTGGCCGTTTCCTGTGGGAATATGGAGGGGATCATCCTGACGTACGTTAGAGGCATGCCGCAGCGCAAGGGTCGTCGACTGCTCTGGCGTTTCCAGTTACGGTCCAGGGTTGGGAGTGGTACCCTTTCCGCGGGGGAGGGACAAGCGGGACGGAGACAGGTCAACGGCGTCAGCACCCAGGACGAGTCCGTGACCACGATCGTACTCTGTTTTGGGGGTAGAGACAAGGGAAGCGCGAGATCGAGGTGCACCACACAGCAGCAAGGTCCAGAGGGGCCTAGCCCTCTTTGGAGGGGAGCAAGGATGACGGGCGAGGCGATTGGGCAGGACATGACGAGTGAGCCGTCCTGGAGCAGTCGCGAGGGGAGGACGCTGCGGGGACTAGCAGAGGTTGGGCAGAAACGACCGCTTCGGGGCATGCCTGGGCATCGATACCCAACCGTACTGGTGCGTTTCTGGCTGTTGTCCAGTGGGAAGCCGCCCCGGCGTAAGAGCAGCACCCGCCATCCATGTGGTGCGGCGTTGGCCAGTCACAAGCGGCCGCGGTGGCCAGTGAGCAGCTGGGCTTTGCTGCCCACACACACCACCACCACCACCAGGTCGGTCGGCGTCCAGCACAACCTCAAGGCGCGCACGCAGGGAGTGGGGTGAGTGGCGCGTGAGCGGGGAGCAAGCAGCAGTAGGCGCTGTGGATAGCATCGAAGCACCGAGGAGGCACGCCTGGGAGGCAGCGCTCTCGCCGGGGCTGAAGGGGGCCAGGGGGGATGACGGGGTCGCCTGTGGACTTGTCTGACTGCCTGTGGGTTGGCAGCAGGATGCACTGACCTAACTACATCGGCCCTGGGCTGTTGTCTGGCATAACGGCGCCGGGCAGCGGGCGAATGAGGTGGCCTGGCCGACGGGCGCGAGAGCCATGGCAGCGCATGGCATGGCAGCCGGTCTGGAGCGGATTGCTTTTTTTGGCTTGAGCGGGTTGATGTTTTGGTTTTTGCGAGCGCTCCAGTGGCCCCAGCCTAGCACTGCCTCCCCCACAGCAGCATGGATGAATTGAGCGACAAAATTGAGCGACAATCGTGGCGACCCGCCCTTCTCTGACGCTCCTGCCCGTGACCAGCGCCGCAGACGCCCCGATTTAATTGCATACCTCGGCGTCCTATCGATTGATGCATGCACTCAATGCAGTTGCTGCAGTCGCTGCACCCACCTACGGGCCACCTCGTCGCACGCTCGCTTGCAAGTGCCCGCGTCGGCTGGATATCTCGAGATACTTGCAGGCGTGCAGCCAGCCATGCAGACGCGCCATGCCTCTGATCAGCAGGCGTGCTGCCGTGGTTGCCGTGGTTCCAAAGCGCTGCTGCAGCAGACCGCTTGCCGCTACTGACTTTTTGCCTTTGCCAGGTACCCCCACCTCGCCCGTGAATCCCCGGTTGCAACTCGGATTACTGCATCACCCCACCCCCAAACGGAGCGTTGGGGAACGTCAGGCTCGGTTAATGGGTTAATGGGATCGCGATTGATCGCTGGCCCCGCAACCTGTCAGCTGCGCGCGAGGATCGGATATGCCAATACCTTGGTATGCACCAACCAGCATAAGAGCGGTCAAATTGATACTTCAAGCTCCACGCCAACCAAATTTTGCCTTGTGTTTGTTTTGTTTTGGTTCTGCCTTCGGAATCTGCCCATTACCGAGTCGCGATGGTGCCAGCGATGGCAGCAGCAGTCGCAGCAGTAGCAGCGGCAGGAACAACGACAAGCAGCAAGAACAACGTCAACAACAACAACAATAACAAAACATCCATCCCCTCGATCCCGTCTGCTCAGCGAGATCCCCAAAGCGCGCGTCAACCTCCCAGCCACCGCCTTTTTTTTCCTTGGCCCACGGCCCACCTACTCAGCTGGGCGCGGGACTCACTGGTCAGCCTAATTGAGGGCGGCTCCACCTGGTCGCATAATGCGCGGCCTAGTATCGTCGCCCAAGTGCAGGGAGAGCCAGCCCAAACATGCGGTGTGTTTTTGCTTTTTTTTTTTCTCTTTTTTTCTTTTTCTCGACCCCGTTCGTGTTTTCCACTTTGTGTCCTTGCCCAGGCGCGTCCGGGGCTACGCGTACCGCCCTCCCCCCACCCGCCAAAAAGACAAAACAAAAACACTCCATCCACAGGCCACCACAGGCCACCACAGGGATGCCGCCGTGCCTGGTGGGCGGGCTGTGTGGCCGCGAGATGTGGCCAGCACCATGGGCGCCACACACACCAGGCAGCCCCCTTGGTGTGCTCGGCTTGCCGGACGGCTTGGGTTGCCCGGGACCATTTGCTCCGCGGCACCGCCGAAATCCAACCAGGGCTTTGGCCTGCCTCTCTCACCTTGTCATGCCATCCCAAAACAGCTTCCTCTCTGGAACGCCCTTCCCCTTTGGGACGGGTGTGACGGCCAGTTCTCGCGGCCCGGCAAAGCCACCGGCCTCGAGGTGACGGCTGCCAATCACCATCACAAGGCGAGCTGGCCTTGTGACCCTGGGAAGGCTGCTGCCGGCCGTCATCACCACCATCGCCTCCGTCATCAGGCGTTTTCGTCGCATACCCGAAACGGGCTGCTTGGCTGGCCAGGACTAGGACTAGGATCAGGACCAGAGGACCACCACCACCGGGCACCTCGGAAGGGCGGGGCTGAGAGTGGATGGGGTGGAAGGGCCTGCGTCCGAGGCGGCCGGAAACATGCCATCTGAATTTTTTGCTCGGGCTTCGCTCCGGAACCTGCGGCCCCCTCGGCAGATGCCGGGATGCGGATGCATCGAGTGATGCCTGACTTCCGACCGCCAGCTCGTCCGGGCCCGACAGCCTCGGAGGCGGTGGAGGAAGATACCTCCCTGGCACGGAACTAGGTGGAGGAGGTACCTCGGTCCTGCGAACTCCTCGTGGTGACTCATACTTGGACTCCTCCTATCGCCGGGAACACTTGTCAGGGGTCTTGGCCACGCAGTACGATGGGCCGACCTTCCAGAAGATTACCAACGAACTTCGGGTATCTACGCAGTATCGAAGCTGCAGTGGTGGGCGGACAAGACTCCATTCCTGTCTCAGGGCCCATATTCTGTCTGTCACATCTCACCTCGTCTGCATACACTTCCCTGCGATCTAGCCATGCCACTCTATCTTGCAGCAGCATACCTCTTGCATGAGGCTTGGGCACAAAAAAAATTTTGTGCTTCAATATCCAGGGCCTGGCAGTCAAGCGTGAGCAGAGTGGCACTTGTTATCCGAACTTTGGCGCACTATCAAGTGATTGTTACCCATACCCATTTTGCTGTTATTCCATTTTAGTTCCCCTTGAGGCATTTTTGTGGATGCTATGCTTTGATATCTCCCTTGCTATTCAGCCCCTCGCTTGTGATGATGCCTTGTGGCGGCCATCGTGACAGGGGGACCCCTTCCGCCACGCAGGCAGGTTCTTGTTGCGTCTTCACCAAAAAAAAAAAAAAAAGATGTGCGTCACCAAAGAAGGTTCCCTTGGGAGCCAGCCATGCGCGGCCCCCAAAAACGCCTCCCTCCGTATTTTGGGACGATCTCATATGCAGCCAAACAGGTTCGGGGCCAAGACAAGCGTCGTCGCATGGGGATGGTGTTTTTGTCCACTTGCGAGCAAACAGGTCTAGCGGTGAAGAGACGTCCTCCTCGGTCAGCTTCCCAGGCAACGACCCCGGTTCCCTGTCAGCCGAGTCGGGATGCACCTCCCAGATTCGAAAAGGAAGAACCAAAGGACGAACGAGATGCCTTCTTCTGTCCTTGGGCCGTTGGGGAAGATGGGTCTCCTGACTCAGATTTAGTCCAGAGCTGAGGGAAGCGTGAGCAGCGAGCGAGCCTTCGGACCTGCATCAGCCCCAAGGAGGCGAGTTTCCCGCGCGTCTTTGCTCACGACCGCTGCGCGCCCTCGCCTCCTGCACGGCGAAGAGAAGCGGTGATCCCTGTATAGGGCCTTTTTTCTTCGCAGTTGGATCAACCTCCCGCTTTTTTTCTTCTTGTCTTGTCTCATCTGCCTTGGATCCCCATTGGCGCGGCGCTGTGATAGCAAGATTGCCTTAGTCCTATGCGCCGCTCAAGTGCTCCGGCTTGCTCGCCCAACCCCACAGAAAAATTAAGAACAAACAAGGGAAGGAGTCAAACAGGTTGAAACGGGCCTGTGCTGCCCTCCTGCCCTTGGGGAGCATCACCACCAACGTTCGCACTACCGCTAGTTTGGGCAATGACATAATCCTTGTCGTCGTCTCAGCTCCCCCCTCCCCGGTCCGGCAGGCTTACTACGCACATCCACCATCCGGCACACGCCATGCCTACACCGTCCTACCATCTCCACGTTCGTTATATGTTACTATGTTGCGATGCTACTGGGATCTCTGCCCACGCCCCATGGTAACAGACCCTTCCTGAAACTCGGTCCCGAGCCTGCAGAAAGCACGGCGCATGGCGAGCAAGGGGGGAAAGGATAAGCGACGGAGGAGAGAAAGAAAAGATGGGCGAGGCAAAACGCCTGCGGCCTGGGCTTGCGAAGGGGACCGCCCATGCGCCTACTCTCACTCTCTCGCTCGCTCGCATGTGCGGCTAGTTGCTCACCGTACCCAGCCCCTTGGAAGTGAGGGGACGGAGGAACCCATCAACCTCAAACCAGAGTGAATGAAGGAAGGGGCCAAGTCGCCGCTGAGGGCCTAGACATGCAAGATGGGCCCCGTAAAATCTTGTTTGCGTTTTTTTTTTTACTTTCTTTTTCTGTCTCTTTCCTTTTCATTTTCGTTCTTTGGGTCGGGTCCGGATCACCAAGCCGGAAGTCTCGTGTTTGATGGTCCTGGGCAGAGTGGCGGTGAAGGATGATGGGAAAGAAAAAAAGCTCCGCGTGGACTTCCAAGCCTCTTTTTTTTTTTTTTCGGCTACTTTGTTTCTTTTTTGGTATTCTGCTCGTTGATTTGTTTATCCATCTCCCCCAGTTCCGTTCACGAACGTTATCTTTGGAACTGGTGCCGAGAGAAAATCATACATGCCACCCTTGTGAGCCTTTACACGCCCCTCCCCCTTCATGGCACTTGTGCCACCGTAAAAGAGAGGGAAGAGACAGGAATAGGAACACTTGAAACGCCAGGCAGGGCGGGCAGTGAGAGCTCCTTCCGCCAGGGGAGGGGGACATTGTGGCACCGCAGCGAGCACCGCACAAGCCGCAGCGCGCGCTGCAGAGGTGGGCAAAGGCAAAGGGGAGGACGAAGGGGGAAATGGATGTGGGACCGGGGCGACGCCCTCATGCTCTTCCTCCTCCTCCTCCTCCTCCCCTTGGCAGATCATCCCCGCCCTGCCGTACGACCGAGCTGTTCGGGACGATCGGGGTAGGACGAGGGAACGGACTTGCTGCTGCCTCAGGAGGTGTGAGAAGTTCTTGCCGTCGACCAAGTTTTTCTTCCCTTTCCTTCTTTTCTTTTCTTTTTGTCTTGCTTTTGCCTCTTGTCATGTGCATACATGCATCACACCGTAGTTACGGAGACTGGAGAGAGTCGGAGGAGAACGGTGGGACCCTCGAACCGGCTTTCTCGTCTTGCTTTGCCTGCCGGGTTGCGGATCTGCCTGCTCTTCCGGCTTGGTCGAATGGTTCTGCTCGCCCCCGTGCTGATATTTCTCCACACCGAACAAGATCCTTCCATCTCCTTCGCCCCCCGCTGTGGCCATGAAAAAAAAGGGAATGGGACAAAAAAATAACAGCGTCGTTTATCATCTCCCGCCTGGGAGAGGGGGCGTGGCCGTATCGGGCGAGTGTGCGAGCGAGTGAGTAACCATGGTCCGATCGCGCCGGCCCCGACGACGCAGGTGGGCGGGAATGTTGGGAGCCAAGGAAGTAGCTGTCCGCCTCTCGCCATCGTTCCCTTACTAGTTACATGTTTGCTTTCACATCGCCTCAGTGTGGATGAAAAAAAAAAAACAAGAGGGGAGTCACGGGGGGTGCCAGCTGGTGACCTCTCACGTGCAAAGGTCCTGCAGTAGGCCGGCTGTTTGCTCTCTTCCATGTCAACCCGGGCGCACGCGTCACGGCTCCTCAGAAAGTGTCACCAGAGTGGCTCGTTGCCGCTTGCCGTTCGTTCCTCCGTCCCCCCAGGGGCTGACTCACGGATGCCTCATCAGCGGCCGGTTGTACGGGGAAGCTCGGGTGGTTAGGGTATCCATTTCTTTGCAGTGTTGCGTGCACTATGTTGAGTCAAATATTTTGTGCCGAGCGCGAGCACCATCTCCTCGCTGTTTGCGGGGTGAGGCCGACGGGTCATGGGAGTTCTGCCGTCCGCAGCACGACAGGATGTGAAACTGAGGGGCGCGAACGCCAGAGACTGCCCGGCTACGCTAGGTAACATCGCACGCGACATCGGTAGGCTCCGAGCTTTTCCGATATGCTGTTGCACGCGGTCACGTCGTACACCTTGTATATATGCCTGGAAGCTGAGGCTAGCCTGCTATTGGAAGTCCCATAGCTTCACGAGCAGGCTATCCTGCTGCCCGCTTTCCCGATCGTGGGGGAGCAGTACCCTCTTCGGGATCTGAAACTCCACCACTGGGCTCCGTTTGATCTCCTTGCTGAGCTCTCCGTCGAGAAGCTGTGAGTTATGTTGGTCAGGCAGTCAGTCATATGATGATTCAGAGAAAGGGCTAGCCGGTGATCAAAGACGCTTACACTTGCGTATGAGTGGTCAAGAAAGTCCTCCACATTGTAGAATTGCTTTGTGAACTGTTCCGAGATGATCTTGGCGATGGTGGCCACATTTGGATGGTAGTGTGACTGTAGTTGAACAATCTCCCAGAGGCAGCTCTCGATGGCCTGTGTCTCCATCGGATCCTTCTCGTCCGGAAGGAAAGGGTCATCCATGCCCCCGTTCTCCAGCAACTCTCGCTCCTCGTCCGTGCGGACCTCGTGGTGCATCATAAACGTGCACAGGGGGTGCTTCTTGAATAGATTGTAGAACCATGGAACAACAACCACGATGGCACTGGGCGGGGCGTTGAGACACAGCCTGGCCAGTCTCTTGATGAAGCTCGCTACGAGCTGCGCCGGCAGGTGGGACGACGAGAGGAATGTGTCGAGCAGCCGGAAGAATCTGGACCGATGCTTGGAGTGGAGGAGGTCGGCATCCAGAAGCGAGTACAGCTTGTTGTAAAACTCGGGGTAGTCCAAGTTCCGCTCTTGTATCAGGTAAAATACTCCAGACAGCGCGAGAAGCGAGACTGACCCGCCCTCGTTGAAGCTGTCAGTGAGAAAGTCCATAAGCATCTCGGGCTTTGTGAACCATGGCGCAACGTGGGTTGAGATGACAGCCAGAACTCGCTTCCTCTGCTCCTTGTCTAGACCTAGGTTCAACAGTTTGACCCAGGCGTCCTGCGCCGGCCTCTTGTGCTGAGCCACGGAATACATGGAGTGAGACTTCTTCTTCGGTGGGTCAAGGTAAAATTCGCCTATGTCGTCGTTGGACTCGGGTACTGCCTCTACCGAAACCAGCAGCTCCAAGACGGCGTCGAAAGAAGGCGGTGCATCGGGCGACTGCGCAGCCAGAGTCTCGGATATGCCCTTGAACGTATAGAAGCGTACATCGTCATATACATTGACGAAATTCTCGGCGAGCTCGGCCCGGAGTTCACCGGCACCCGCGCCTTTGGAGACGGCGGCCGCAACGATCTGGGTCATGAACTGCCTTGGGAACGAGTACTCCTCGCTCTCCGAGGATGTAGCCGCAGCCTCTGCCTTCAGCAGGCGCATTGCGAGGGTGAGCGCGGTGGAGGATGCGTCCTCCTGTAGCATGAGTCTCTGCAGCACGGCCTTGTATTCAGAAAGGCGGTCTTTGAGCCACGTCACAACGACCGCATCTTTCTCCGAGCCGCCTTTCTTTCGTCTCAGGGCGCCCTGTGCTAGCAGCCGGATGAAGACGCGACAGAGGGACACTGAGGCGACCAGGTCGGTTCCGTCCTCGTCGTCGTCCTTTTGTGCATATGTGAGGAGTGCTGCAATGTTGTTGTAGTTCTTCTTGGACTCAACGATGCCATTTTCCAACAAGAGAATCTGGGCTTGCTGGTCGTCATCGGATTCGTCTCTGTTCTCTGATCGTGCTCGTTTCGGAGGACGCTCGGCTGCAGCCTGTGGGCGTTTCCTCTTTGCAACGCTGCCGGAAGCCATGGCGCAGCTCTATTGCCAGCTGGTTCCTATGCTATGTCTGGTCGTTGAACTGTCGATTGGGCTATTCGTGGATTGGGTGATGAAGCGTTCGTTCTGGGTCCCAATAAGGAAGGGTCCTTCCTGCGACAGCTTGGTGCCGTGCA